CACTATGGGAGAGGCAGAATGCATTTTGATGGATTGTTTACTGTATCTGTTACATTTTATGACCAACTTCTCCTGTAGCATGCATTCCCACAGACAGGCTGTATGAATAAGGTTTACTGTCATAGTATAATGCATAATAATAACTTGAAGGATATAATGGTGGAGCACCTTGTCATTGGCTGTGTTCAACTTCAGACAGTGAGTCAGTTCCAAGTCTGCTCCAGTGTCTCATCTCTGATCTGTGACGTATAATAGTCATCAGCAGCAGCATTTGGAGCAGGCTTTTCTCATGAGCATGATTGAAAGAGACCAAGTCAAACCAGACATATCTAAATTCTCTTCTTAGATAAAAAAAAAGATGGGGTCAACACTAATTTCATCAGCTGACACAAGTCACATGGCTAAGCTCAACAATACTACCCCCTTCCCCACGACATGTGTGGGAGAGTGAATATCTGATGACAATTTTGAACATATTCAAACATAGAGTGGAAGTTCAATATGGTATTTCCAATGGTCTCATCTAAAATATAGGAGCCACTAAAGTGAGGGATGCTCAGTATTCAGAGTTCAAGGTAAGGAGAGGCTATTTTGAAATACCAATCTCCAGAGCCATCTTTTTATTTCCCTCTCTTTAATTTATTCACACTTACTGGACAAAGCTGCTTGATCCCTTAATGTGCAACAATCCAAATTTATCTTCTGTATGATACTGCCTTGGTGCTCTACTCTTTCAAGGCAATTTCCTGTGCTCTTCATTCACCAATGCCATTCTCCTCTCTGTATTTTGGTTATTGTTATGATCTGCATGAGGAACGTCACCTGGAATCTTTTCTTCCCTCCATCTCTCTAATTAATAGCCACCCATTGAGGATTTATGAATTTTCACCATTTCTTTGAAGGTTTCTTTACCTTCTGGGCCAAGGCTACCTTTTATTCTTCTCTGCTCCATCTATCCAGCCATGTATCCATCCATCTGTCCTTTCAACAATATTTAATGATTGCCTAGTATATATCAATAATTTTTTTTATAAAATGGGGATGTTCCATGAATCAGATAAAGAAACCCTCCAATGTCATGGAGTTTATATTTCAGTGGAGAACATAGATACATAAGCCAAAATGTAAATATGATTTCAGATAGTGCTAGTACTGTGAATAAATGAAAACAGGGAAATATGCCTAGGTGAGGGGAATGAGCAGCATGAAATAGGTGGACAGGGATGGCCTTCTCAATATTTGAACAGAGAACAAAGTGATGAAAACAAAACAGCCCATGCAGCTATAGAGTCAAAGATGTATTTCTAATCAGAGTCCCCATAACAAAACGACCTGTAAATCTTTTCCTCTCCCCTCCAACCCCCCACTGGAATCCACTTATCATATTTAAGTTGTTGGGTGAATACAAAAAGGGCCAAGTAGAATCAGCTAAACTGATTGCTAGGGTCTATAATTTTCTCTGCTATTTTAAGATTAGTTGGAATTATATTTTGTCTGAAGGGCCTTTATTTTTCTAACAAAGACCCAATTGAGCAAATATGGAGTAATAATATTGCCTAGCACAATACAGTGCTAATTGAAAAGATCCAGAGAATGAGTCTTTGAAAAGATGACTTTCTTACCTCCATTTTACTTCTGTGCCTTTGCATTGCTTTGAGAACTGGTTTGATTTCCTGCTGTTAATCTCCAGGAGGGGTAATCCAAGGAGAGAAGACTAACCTCACCACACCAATAGTCAAGGTGTTTTGGATTATGAGTAAGAGCTATTGATGTGGATAAAAAAATAAAATGTGGATTTGAGATTTCCACCCTTGTCTTTATATTAGCTTCCAATTGCTGCTGTAACAAAGTCCCAGAGACTTAGTGGTTAAAACAACACAAACGTACCACATGATCATTTTGACTAATACCAGTCTCCCAGAACTAAAATCAAGGTGCCAATCGCATCTGCAAAGTTCCCTTTGTCATGGAAGGTCGGGTAGTCACAGGTTCCAGGTTTTAGGACATCTTGAGCATCTTAGGATCTGCCATGATTCTCCCTTCCATGGCTCTTCTTTAAATTGGTGACTGTGACTTCCAAGAATGGGGGAAGTCTCACCAGACAGAGCCACTCCTTAATGAGACCAAATTGATTCCTGGGAATGGGTAAGGAGAACAAAAGATTTTTCTTAGAACTGTGACAGCACTCAGCTTCTGACCAAGAACTCGGTCCATCTGGGACCTGGGCACTTTTTGTGACATGCTCCAGAACTGCTCTTGCCTGTTCTGTTTCTGTAGCTAGAATTTGAGTCACCTTTTGAAGTTGCTCTATGATAACCTGTAGAAACTTTTTTTTTTATTATATTAGAAATTGAAGACTGTCTCTCTCCCCTGCCTTATTGTCTATGTTCAAGCATCATCCCTTTCCGTCCTTTTTGATGGATTCCAAATTGTTCCTGGAAGGAAACTGGTGATAATTCTATTTTCAGTAGCTCATACTCTGGGGACTGATGTGGGTCTTGTCTGTGGTATTGTGCTTCTCTAATCATAATCCTGACTTCTGAAATATTACTGTCAGTAGAGAAAAAGGCTTGCCAACTCCATCGCTCATTTATCACTGAGAAGATGCTTTTAAGGAAGGTCTTAAATGAAGTCATTGTACAAATGCCAAAAAAGAAAAAAAAGTGCTATGTCTAGGGATTAGTGAAAGCTTCTCATTGTCTGACCTCAATTAGAAAAAGCAGAAATATTTCTAAGGATTGCTTCTGAGATGCCTAAAGTGGCTTACTGGATGTTGGAGTTAACTCCTAAACTGAAGTTCTTTGCCATTAGTGAACTAGTAACCTCATTCCTTGATTTCCCTTCAGAAACTCCTCATAAATGTTTGTAAGGGCTGTCAGCATGAATGGTTAGATTTAAAGCTGAATTTACTAGAAGTAAGCAGGAGTAATTATGTGCAAAATAAATGAAAGAAATTATAATATCTCTGCAAGACACGTAAGCATAAGATAAAAATGTTTAAATTGGAATGAGCAAGGTTGCTCAACCATTTCTTTATTATTACCTCCAAAAGGAATCTTTTTAGTTATATTTTTCTGTATCACTCTCCTATGACATTTTATTTTTAATCTTCACCCAAGGATATTTTTTCCCATTGATTTTCAGAAAGAGTGGAAAGGAGGGGTAGAGGAAGAGAGGGAGAGGGAAGGAGAGAGACATATTGATTGGTTGCCTACCACACACACCCTGATCAGGGCTGGGGTTCAAACCTGCAACCAGGTATGTGACTTTTACCAGAATTGAACCCACAACCTTTCAGTTCCAGGGCTGAAGCTCTAACCACTGAGCACTGAATATACTATATTACTGTATATCTGCTGATGTGCTGTATGTATATCTGTGCTTTATACACAAAAAGAGTAATATTCTGCACCTGCTCCAAGAACAAATTTTCACCCCCTTGAGGAAGATATTGTCCTATTGTGAATGTGTGATATAAATTAAAGGAACACACTTGATTTTATCTTCTTTCCATTTTCATGATATTATAATTACAGTTTTTAAAAGTGAAAATTGATTATGGAAATCATATATGCAAAACAGGGATAAAGCATACTTATATTCCCCCAAGTCAGAGAAACATAAATATATAATTTTATAAACATGGCCATCTTTTTATGTCAATAGGTATTTTATCAAAACATTATTATATTTGCAGAGTACTTAATTATATAGTTGTAATGTTTCATCATTTAGGTACACAATACTTTGGCAGATATTGATGTTGTTTCTGACTTATTTTGAGAGAAACAAGACTGTGATATAGATTCGTAAATGTATCTTCTCATACATGACTGAATCTTTCCTTGGGATGCATGCCTAGAAGCGCAATCTTCCAGGCAAAGGAAATGCATTTTTCAAGGCTTTTGACACATGATGCGAAATTGCCACCCAAACAGCATGGTTCCTTTCAAAAAGCCATAATCATAGCAAAATTTGAATGACACCTGAGTAATTGCGTGGTATCTCTTCTACCAATAAAATATTGCATTTGCATCCAGATGATTGGGAATATTTTTAGAGGGTGTAATTGTTCAATTTGAACAAAAACTCTCTGGAACAAGCAGGAACTGGATGGAGATTTGTGATGTGGTCAGAAGTTTATGTGCGTAACTTGGCTCAGCAAAATGATGGGGTGTTTGCAGAGGGGCTGGGAAAATAGTTATCGTCCAAGTTGTTTTTGTTTGATCCATTTTGACTCTCTTTTTGATGTTTTATCATTTTAAAATTGTCCACACATTTCAGCACAGCTTTGGATGAAGTCTGAGATAAGAGAGATGCAGGCAACAAAAGAAGTACTTTCCAAAAACTGTTTGTTTTTTGTATTACTTCAACAAATATTTATTGAGCAACTACTAGATGACAGGCACTAGAACAGTCCTGGGGCGTTCTAGTGGCTAAAAACAAGTCCCTTCTATTGTGAATTGTGTTTTGGTGTGGGGAGGCAGCTAATACACCTGAATAATCTTCTCTGCAGCCCCTCGTAAAGGGAGAATTCCTGATATTAAGTGGTAAAAACCTCTCTGGAGAAAAGTTCTCTCTATTTGCTGATGGTCTAGGCTGTGCTCCAGCAGCATAACCTTTGTAGTATTTTTCATACCACTCTCTATATTTTCTCGCCCATTCTCGGTAACACTCTTTTTCAAATGTGTCTCTAAAGTCAACACTCCTCCCACAATAAGCTTTTATGTCATATGGTGGTGGAACTTCTCTGTATCTATTAAAATATTCACGTTCTGTTTCCCCTTGGGGTACAGTACATTTATTTGGAGACTGTCCCCTAAATTCTTGAGGGGACCTTGATGGTGAATGATATCATCTATATAGTGGTGACCTTGACTTAGATCGATAATATCCATGAGATCTAGACCTTGAGAGGTAGTTTCCACTCTTGCCTCTGCCTCTTCTGGGGTATGGAGGTGATCGGGCAAGGGCTGCAGCTGGCAATATTTTATTATCGGAATCCTGGAAAGGCCCATCATTTTTCTGAGTGGACTGATATGAAGACCCTTGCAGTTATATCAGGTACAGGCGCTGGGGTAGATGAATTTCCAGGCACAGCAGGGGCTAAGGAAGACTGATTAGAAGTTAATGAAGATACAGAGGGAACCGGGTGGCCTGATGAAGTCATCACTGGAATCATCAGAGCATCTTGTTGTCTTGATATTGGAGATTTCATCAGAGGTTGTAGATTCTGCTGAATGAGTGGTCTCGGAGGCGGTATTGGGGGTGGTGGTGGGGTAACTGTTTCCGTAGTCTTTTTGTATAATCAGTTCCATTTTTGAAGTTATTAACAGCCTGTCGCAAGAATTTATTGGCAACTAAAGCATCAGGAGAGAAATCATTCTGATGACACGTTGGGCATGTATGGTCCTCTGATTCAAAGAGTGCTGTTCTTATACACTCATCACAGTAGCTGTTTCCACAGCAGGGAATGACAGCGGCATTAGTCATGACGTCTTTGCAGATGAGACCAGCAACTCATCTGGGATAGGGTCGTCCCCTTCAGAAAATGGAGAGGGCTCCTTGGGTAAGAAAGGTGGCTTTTCTTTCTTCCCAATTGCATAGGCTTCTGTATCTATAGTTGGTATTGAGTATTTTCCAATGTTGGTGAGCATTGCACCTTTCATGTTAGGATCTTTCACTTCCATCATAAAATTTCTGGGAATTCCAGTGCTCTTTTTAATCCTAGGATCAGGTTCGAAGTTCTTATCCCCATTTGTTGGGCAATTCTTAAAATAATGGCTAGGTTTACCACAGCGGAAACAGGTATAAGATGGAGGTGGTGGACCTAGAGGCCTCTTCATGTAATTGATTGGGTTGTATTCACAGATTGCGACATCATTGCTTTAATTTTATCTTCTTCAGAAGCACTGGCTTCAGCCAGATTGGCAGTCTTTCTAAGCTGGGCCAGAGAAATAGATGCAGAAGAGTCATCAATTGCTTTTGAAGTTCCCATCACTGGTTCAGTTCGACTTATAAAGTACCTCTTGCTTGTAGATTTAACACCTCCAATAGGAATTCTTCTAATTACAGATGAATTCTTAGGAATCAGAGCATTATCATCAGTATATTCTTCCTTGGTCTGTGCGTTGGTGATCTGCAAGTCGCAATTGGCAGCTTTCAGCTTCTCTCTCCCCATAATCTGCTTCTTTAGGTCGCAGAGGGAGATGTGCAGCCCATCAAAGGTGACGGTGTCATAGTTGAGTTTAGAAGAGAATTTATAATGCACACAGGACATGGTGCCAAAGGACTCCTAAGGATCAGCGAGGAGTCAAGGACACTCTCAATATATGTCTATTTATCAACTTAAGAGCAGAATATGTACATACACGGAACACTCATAAGACACTGAAGGACCGAAGGCCTCGGGTTAAACACCCCCTCCCCACCGCAGGGGCGTGAGAACAGCAATCCAGACCCCGACCGTGGAGTCACTGCATGTGCAGGAGGGCGGCCGAGGGCGGGAGGGCCAGGGGCTCCACCGCGGGCACCGAGTCAC